TATATATATATATATATAGATATATATATATATATTGGAAACCTGCAAAGACTGACTCAAAGACTGGTAATGGGTGGGGAGGCAAACACAAATTGGCCTCAGGTAGATTTTAGATTATTCAGGTGCTGCTTCCCTTCGAATTGGACCTCAACTCCCACCTCGTCCTAAACAAATTTAATATTTTCTGAAGCTCAGCCTAGAAAGATCCAGGCTAATTGGAGACGAGCTGAAATCTTAAAAAGGGTAAAGAACTAAAGGTGGGCGACCTCACTCTGTCCTGGGCTCTGTCTCAGTCGTGTAGATAAGGGTCTGACCAGTTTTTGTGCTTATTTTGAGCATTTCTTCCCCAAATATTCACAACGCAACTCCTTCCACTGAGAAGGAAACTTGTAACGGCTCCTGCGTCGCAGATATAAAAGACGAAACAGAAAGCAGTTCAGACATCAACAAACAAACACGATCAGGGCATTGTTTTGTGTCTTAAAAGAATTACAAGTTATCTACTAAACCTAGGCTCAGGGAACGAAGATACCAAGGATTTACTACGACAAAACATGTTTCAAATCACGTACATTTTTCTCATGAACTGATAATAAAAATTTATGGTCGAAGAAATTTAGAGTTCTGACAAAATTAGTTATTACTAATCTCCTAGCCTGGAATGTAAATTATTTAAACTTTAAACAGGATTAATTTGACATTAATCACAGAATATATCCACAGATTGTGTGTAAAATAATCCTATTAGACATTTTAACAGGCTGGCAGATAAAAATAAAGCAGAGAATTCAGGACGGTAAGACAATCTCAAACCAAAAGCCAAAGCAGCTCTGCTGAAAAGTTGCCAATCGTCCTCAAGATCTTTGTTTTTTTCTCAAAATTGCAGCTTTAAAAAAAAAAAAAAAAATATATATATATGGTTAAGATTTGATTTTTGACCAAGTTCCAGTTAGATGATATAAATGTCACAACTGATTGTGCTGCACCAAGATTTATTTGCAAAAAAAAAAAAAAAAGATATTTTGTACATTAGATTAAAATCTAAAAGTTGTTTGATAAGCAGTATATGAAAATACTGATTCAAATAGCTTAAACTTTTTTCTCTCATTTCACTCACTTTACTCTTTTGGAGTGACGATCCCTCTGATCGAGGCCAAGATGGCCCCTCTGCAGGACAGTGTTGTCCGCTCTACAAACAGCGGCACGCATTAATCTGCCACTTTGCAGAGATTACACTGATAAGACACATTTTCCTGCTGACAGCTCAGAGGAAGTGGGTCATGGTTTACAGTTTTCTGCCAGCAATACACTTCAAAGAGGAACAACGGTAGAGATAACGGCAGCTTTTGAGGATGCTGTGTGATCGTGGATGCGGAAGGATGGAGAGGCCGCTGTAATTAGCGGAGAGAAATCCTACACTGAACAACTGCACAGTCTGAAGAACCTTCAATAAAGACGCTGTAGAAGAAAGTGCTGCATGTATCCAGGCCCCTGAAACTCAGCTAGACCCATTCTCATTTTTACTGAAAAATGCTCAAAGCACTGGATTTATGTCTTTGCAACATGAGTGTTAGAGACCAGCAAACACGTTTAGGAGGAAACAAAGACACCTGATTATAGAGCAAACCACTTCCTCCTTTCATGCATGAATACATCTTTTCCTTTTTCTCAGTTTACCTGACAAATATAGCACATTTCACACCGACTTGTAGTTTGGTGTCAATACTGAACATCTTCTAAATAAGTTAGGACACTGTTGATCATAATAATAGGAGTGCAATGGTTTGATAAATGTTTCACAAATTGAAAATAATGAAACTATTAACATTTAAAAAATGCGATCGCTTGCGCAGTTAATACCGCAATAAAAATATATCTTTGCATTGCCCTTTGCATAAAGGCAGGATATAATATTGCCTGTCTGTATTAGTTTTCCATGTTAGCAAAATATCTAACTCTCAGAACACTGAATGTATCTTTAGAACGGATTAACTTTTGGAGTCAAGACAATTCAAGACATCACAGCCAACTGGACTGACAAAACACTAAAATGGCTATAACTCAGTCAGTTTGACAGATGTGCTTGAATTTTGTATGGTAGTAGCTGAGAGTCATCCCCAGTACATATATTTGATCATTCTGTTTATCTGTTAGCAAAATATCTCATGAGCCACAACAGATTTTAATAAAACATACAGAAAAGCGACTTTTCATGCTTAGCAAGCACAAAAGTGACGAAAACTCAAACAACTTAACAGATACTCAGTTCAGAATCGATGTGGTAGTAGCTGAGAGTCATCCCAACACGGACTTTAAGCACTATGAGATTTTGTGCGATCCTGAATGATGTTATTTTGAAACAACTAAGTGATTTTTTTATGCAGTTCTGCCTGAGAGCCCTGGAGTTTTGATGATTGATATAACATGTTCTTGAACTTTTGCCTCCTCGAGGTTTTACAGTGTGGTGAACCCCACCCAATTTATTCTTCTGACAAAAAAAAAAAAACCTCTCCCTTTCTTGATTTGTTCAATCATGTTTCTAATTAACTTCATAAGTTTTGCAATGTTCCACCAAATGTTCTCTGATTTTCGACCATGCCACACTTTTGAAATCGCGTTCCAGCGATAAAAGCTTATTATCGTTGCCATCTAATCTTTATTTCTAAAATAAACACGATAATGCACTAAAATCACTAGAGGTCAAAACTCAGTGCAGTGCACCCGTCCAAATGTTTCAACAGAAAGTGGTAAATTATATATAAATAATAATAATAATAATTTCTAAAAATCACTTTGAGGTAAACAAATGGGTTAAAACAGAGAAGGAAAAAGTGCAGTCAGTCTAGTTCCCAATGCCTTGAGGGCACAAAAACAAGAACACCTGCACTTTTTCACTCTTTTCAATCACTTTTTCTTGCACCTGATACATTTCATTTTACACTGATCTGTCCCTCGGGTTGCATGAGAGAATATATGTGGGTTCCCAAGGGAGCAGTTAGAAGTTAAACACTAATGTGCACAGGTGAGTTTATAATACGCAGCAGGTAAAAGGTTAGGTTTGTTCCCGTCCAAGCTCACTTCCTGGATAACCTCGGACATGGTTCCTGCACCAGAGGGACTGATCTTGAAAACGCGCACAAACCCACAACTTACAGGTACTTTCTGGAGCCCTTGGTCTGCTCGTGCAGAGCTACAGAGAAGCCGAACAAGCTGCCTTTAGTTTTCCCCTCTTTGATCACAGGAAAGCGTTCATCTATGTTAAATCCGCTGCAGCTCTGAGTCCCGTGGTGCGCGCACAGCAGCGCGCACAGGAGCGCTCGTGGAAACAGCATGTTTGGAGCTGGTTGTCCTTGTTTCCTCTGTGTTCTGCCCCGCAGTGAGCTCCAACAGGTAGCCCTGCTTCAGTCACACTTCCTCCATTGAGAGCCTCCTGTTTGGCCCTCACGCGCTCCGTGCACTGCCAAGGTGTCGGTGTCTGCTTCTCTCTCTGCCTCCTCCTCCTCCTCCTCCTCCCTCCTCTCAGCACCTCCACACCCTCCTGAAACAAGTGCACTGACTCATGTTGAAGTGTGCTTAGTGAAAACTTTGGTTTCCTCTTCCTGTGTGTCCCTTACTCTCTCTCTCTCTTTTAACGGACAGATTGGGACTTTGTGCAAACTATAACTCTTCCAAAAATAAAGTTTATACAACAAACTACTGCTTAAACTACAACAAATCCTTCATTAAGATACTTTTTGAAAAGTATGGGGGTGGGGGGATTATAGTACAGTATAGTACTTGTGTAGTTTTCATAAAAGAAGGTAAATAAATGTAAAGAAAGCACACAGCTGAGTCTGCAGATTAACATGACTGACCCACACTAAGTTGGTTGATTCTATTTTTCAGAAAAAATGGGTGAAATACCTCATTTCAACATGGAAAGTTTTTAAAAACCTTATATACATATTTTATTCAAATCCGAGTCTAAATATTCATTCCACCTTTATTTATACAGGTTAGTCTTATTGAGCACTGAGGACTTGTTTGAGACCTAGACAAAGAACACAGATGAGGTACAGTATGGAGCAATACGTCATCATGATCAACCTTCTCAGTTCCAAACAGCTCTTCTACGAGCATCATTATTGTTGACCTGTTTACAAATACTTTATGTAGGCAAACAAATACATGTGAAATATGGCAGCTGTTCACAAATGTTACTCAAATGTTTAATTTAAGGACATTAACCATCAATACAAATACAATGTAATATGTACAATATAATATAATATATACAATATAATATATACAATGGGGCGGCTGTGGCTGAGTGGTTCGAGCAGTCGTCCTCCAATGCAAGAGTTGGGGGTTCGAATCCACCAGCAGTCAAATGCTGAAGTGTCCCTGGGCAAGACACAGAACCCCTCATTGCCTCTGATGTGTGTCCCATCAGTGTATGAATGTGATCTAAAGCACTGATTAGTCTCTTTAGAATGATTTGTTCAATTATCTTTGTAGAGATCTAGTAGAGTTCTGTATGAATGGGTAAATGAGGCACAGATTGTAGTGGAAAGAGCTTTGAGTATCTTGATAAGATAGAAAGGTGCTATATGAGTACAGTCCATTTACCATTTACAATATAATATATAGAATATAACAATATAATATATACAATACATACACTATAACAATATAATATATAAAATATAACAATATAATATATACAATATAATATATACAATATAACAATATAATATATACAATATAATATATACAATATAATATAATATATACAATATAATAAAACAAAATCGCTCTCTATCTGTGTGTGTGTGTGTATTTGTTTATGTTACTTTGTGAGAACCATTTTTAAACACTACATTGCGAGGACCAGCTGCTCTTTGTGGGGACCAAAGCCCAGTCCCCATAAGTACAAGTGTCATTGGTGGGTTAGGGGTTCGGTTTAGGACTAAGGTGTGGATTGAGGATGGGTTAGGTTTAGGGTTAGTACTGGTAATGATTAAGTTTCGGGTAAGCGTCAGGGTTGGGCTATGAATGAAAAATGAATAAATGTCAATGAAAAGTCCCCGTAAAGATAGTAAGACAAACGCGTGTGTGTACATTCAAACAGCACATGGGTCAACAACAAAAAATATTGAAAACCATCCCAAGATTAACAGTGGCCCCCATCTGACCAGTCCCTCGAAAACTTTCTGCAGGTGCTCCTGGACAGTGACACAGATTCTAAAACACGCAGAAAAATGTGTTATTAAAATAAATATTTCAGATATTGTACAGTGTGGCTCTGTGAAAAGAACATGAAAGATGAATAGTTTGCCTGCTGCAGAACGATTTTTCAGCAGCATTAGTTCGATGACATATAATTGAATTCTGAGAGGATTCATGATCTTATGATTAGTATTTATGATTGTCCATTGTTGTCATCACTCTTTGTTGAAATCAGGTCTCTCTTGTAAATGAGTCCTCAAGGCTCAATGGGATTTACCTGTATAAATAAAGGTCGAATGAAAAATTGGTTAGATCCTGTCCTGATTTGGAGAGTCTGTGTTATCAGAGTTTTGATTAAATATTTTGAGTTGAAAATGCTAAAATTTAAAGCCAAACAAGTCCATGCTCTATATTCCAGGTATACAATAAAATTAAAAGCATTTCTTTGTATTTTCTGTGTAGTCATGACTCACATGAGAACCTTTGTGACCGACACACTCAGCCCTGCTAACCTGTGCCTTCCAATAGGCAGTTCATTAAATCCTTAATCCCCTTATAGAGCTCCTGAAGCAGACCAGAGGTTTTCAGTTTCCCTTTCTTTCTTTTGAGTTTCCCCTCCATGCTTTTTGCTTTGTTTATTTATTTGTTTTGAAACTTTGCTTTTAACAGACTTGTCTTCAGCTCTCCTCTTTACCTGTGTGCAATGTTTAGACCTTCAATATGTCTCTTTATTGGCAGGGTAAAATATGTGATCAATGACCTCCTCTGATGGAGGAGATGAGCTCCCACTCTGCGTCTCCTCAGGCTTCAGGAGATTCTTTTCACCCTAAAGTAATCAGGCTTTCATCTCAGGTAAAATAGTTCCTGGAGGCCATTGTTGCTCAGGGAGCACATTCCACAGGCCGAGAGCAGAAACTTTGGACTTTTTCTGAATCAGTTACTCAGTAGATGAAACTCAGCTCTGCTGTGCAGTTTGTTGTGTAAGGTCTACTGTGCTGCACAGGCAATAATTAGCCAACATTAATTAAGCCAATAAATGCATAATTAAAATCCTAGCCATACCTGGAGGAAGTGCATATCCCCCGTCACCTTTTATTTTAGAGCTTGTATCCTGACACACGTGTGCTTCTCATGTTTCTCAGAGAGAAAAAGACTTGACTGCACACCACACTTTACACAGACTGGTGCGTCAGAACAGCCATGGTGCATTCAAAAACGTTGGATTCATGGATTTCAGGAAGAAAACAAGCTACAGCCAAAGAGAACTTAGCTCAGCAAGCAAACTAACCACATACAATTAATGTGGGCTTTCTAAAAATAATTGTATAAAGATCATTACAAATAATAATAACAAAAAAAAATAATAATAATTTCCACTCAGAGGGCCCCCTAGAGGCCCGGAGGCCCTAAGCAGCCGCTTATGATGCTTATGCCTCCGGCCGGCCTTGCATGTTGTAGTCAATGTTTTGGCGTTGTCCTCTGGCAGCCGTGGACCTTCTATACAGCAGGAGGCTCGTTAGGGAGATGATGCTCAGCAGAGGAGGAGAGGCTCCTCCTTGCCTCTCAGGAGCTGCAAAAGGTAAATGGACTATACGTATATAACACCTTTCTAACTTGTATAACACCTTTCTATCTTATCAAAATACTCAAAACACTTTTCACTACAACCTGTGCCCTTATTTACCCGTTTACACAGCACTCTACTAGATCTCTACAAAGCTAATCTTAATCTGCAGAGACTAATCAGTGCTTCACATTCATACACCAATGGGACACACATATGAGGCAATCAGGGTTCAGTGTCTTGCCCAGGGACACTTCAACATGCGACTGCTGGTGGAATCGAACCCCCAACTTTCCCACTGGAGGACGACTGCTCTAACCACTCCGCCACAGCCGCCCCTTAAGTGGTGTGAATTCATAACTTACTGCAATCCCTCCAAAATTAAGCTAACCGTATGCTGAGAAATGAAAGATCTGTAGCAGTCGTGGTCAAATCTTAAAGACAAAAAACATAAATTTTATGCGAAATCACAATTTAGAGTGAATGTTGTGAATGACTCTCAGCTACTACCATGCCACCTTTTAGCTCAACATCTGTAAAATTAACCATGTTGAAGCCATTTCTGTGTTTTTAAGTCAGTCAGCAGCGACAATATTGAATGGGGGTGACTTTGAGGGTTTTATGAAAATTTGTCCCGTATCATTCAAGTGCAGCGAGCAACTGGTTTGACAAGGTAAATATCCTGAGAGGGGAAAAATTTTTAAGTGACAAAGGAACATACAACACAATCTGTCCCATTCCCTCACACTTCTCTTTGTTTAGGTTCATGCTGCAGATTTATTTTCTGCAAGGTCTGCAAACCCCATTTCTTAATTTTAACATCTGATGACGTAATACAGATAAATATGTTCTGTCTCCATGAATTGTCTTGACTAAACTATAAATCACTCGTGTCTGTGTCTCCAAAAGAAGAAAAGTATGACATATTAAGTTTGTCCTGTAACTTTTAGTGAAAGGAAGTGATTTCACTTTCAGTCCCTGCCCTGAGAGTTACAATGGAGTTCTAAACAAGTTTCTGTCCCGGCCCTTAAATACATATTTCCCAGCCCCGACTGTAAGCCAACACTTTGTAAAGCACAGAGACCCTAAACGCAGCTCCAGAATCCCCCCTTATTCTAAAACCCTTCACCCACGCAGCACACATGGAATGTAATTTGCAATTTATCTTGCAGTTTCCTGTTTTTTTCCACACCAATGTGACCACCATCTCCTCCCGCGTTGTCATAGTTTGACCCCCTCCCCCTTAAAACAAAGAACACCTCCAAAAAATATATATTTTACACGTTTTTCCTCCCACTTCTCCGAACACTGAAGTTTATCTTTCTGTCTCATAAAACCCATTTAATTGAGCAGATTGTGGTGACGCACTAACAGTCTGCATGCTTTCCTGCAGCTTTGTAGTTTGTCGTCTATCCAGAATGGCTCCACTGAGTCCTCTGAGGGAATCCTTTGAGGCGCTGAGGGCTGAGTGGATGCTTTGTGGAGTTCCTGATGTGAATGTGTGATAATCAAACTGCACTGCTTGTTGCAGAATGCTGCTGAAAGAGCAGAATAAACTCAAAGTCTGAGCGCATCAATATGCTCTTTAAAAAGGTATTCCCACCCCTAAAACGTTTTCATATTTTGTCGTGCTACAACCACAAACTTCAAAGTATTTTACTGGGATTTTACTAGACCAACACAAAGTAACTCAGTGAAC